CCCCAGCCTCTACCACCACCACCGTCACACCTCATTTCTGACACTCTGCATTCTCTAGATTCTGGAGGGGATCACACAATATTTACTATCAGACAGGATACCCAAGACAATTATGAAGCATATCTATACATGCTCAGCATGTTATACACTTATTTGATTTTGTTTCATTGCTGAAAGTTTCAGACAATGAAACCACATCTGCCAAAAGTGTTTGAAACTTATATTTCATGATCTGGAAATTCAAGAAAAATTTTGAGTTAATATCAACGTAAATGATATTGTTGTCCCCATCCTAATAGAAGCGGCCTTCTTGCATATAATGAAGTTTCACAACAATTAAACATTAAATATCCACACTTTTATTTTCTCATTGATAATTACATTTCGAGGATAAATCCACATTTAAACAAGTTAATGAAGGTTCGCTGAAACGTAATGTAATTTATTATCTGATTTAGGGAGTTAGGATTTACCTGGGTTATCAATAGTAGGGGTCCAGGGAACTCAAGCTTTTGATTGTTGGGGTCCCACGTTAACAAATGGGGGTTCCAAGCTAAAAGCAACCAAATGAGTGTTCCCAGGGAAATGTCAACTTGAATACAGCACTCAACAACAACAGGGTAGAGTAGGTCTTCAGCAACCCATGCTTGCCGTAAAAGGCGACTATGCTTGTTGTAAGAGGCGACTAAGGGGATCGGGTGGTCAGGCTCGCTGACTTGGTTGATGCAGGTCATCAATCCCAATTGCGTTGACCGATGCTCATGTTGTCAATCACTGGATTGTCTGGTCCAGACTTGATTATTTACAGACCGCTGTCATATAGCTGGAATATTGTTGATAGCAGCGTTAAACAACAAACAAACAACTCAACAAGTGACTTATTGCCCATGCTCAGAACCCATTAGTTAAAAATAGATATGGAGTTCCTAACTGAAGCAGTGCTAGGAGATCGTGTAGCATTTGACATGTTTCCTTTTTAGTTCTTACATACAAAAAATAATTTTAGGGGGTTACGAAATAATTATGAAAGAGCAGCATCTGTTCAGTTGCATGTAAATTTCAGAGTGCCAGTGGATGCACTGTGTGCTTTTTTTCATCCATTTTCAAATTTTATGAGTATATGATTCAAGATTCTACATCCAGTAAATTCCTTGGGTATCGCATGGAGGGATCGTGGGTAGGGAAGACCAGCATCCAATGGTGGAGATTGTCCTTCTGATTGCATCTCAATGGAGCTTTCACTTGAAAGATCTCCAATAACTAACAGCAATTTTGAGTTAATTGATCCGAAATAACCGGCTGCTGTATCAGTCAGGCGTCATCATGGTGTGGTTTCTATGGCAACGGGTCATACTAACATGGATTAACAATATTAACAGCTGTCTGATGTTCGTGGTGGTGGATTAATTAGTAGTTAAAGAATGAGGGGTTAAAAGTGGCCATGTTCGCTGTGGACTAAAACTGTTTCTATGGACAGAAGATCAGTAACATGCAGGTTTTTATACAGCCTTTGATATCGGACAGTGTTTGTGACTCACAATACATTTTGGGGAGTCGTCAGAAAAAAATAATTTTTGGGGGGGTTGTTATTTGACATGATACTGTTTTTTGATGTGACTGAGCACCAAGTGGGTCATCATCTTCCTGGCGACCAGTGTTTTAAAATTTCTCTGAAAATGTTGAAATTCATACATTTTCACAGGTGGATCTTTGGATCATGTGGATCATGTCAAAAAGGAAATACCGTATTCGACGTAATAAGCGCCCCGCTCTAATAAGCGCCCATGGCGACATTTGCTAAGATATTTGCTAGTGAACAATGCCAGTTAGCACTCCTTCCGTTTGATCAATGTACACAAGACTTATTTATTCGCGTATAATACGCACTCGTGTGTTATATGCACCCTTAATTATGGGCATTTAATTCTGGAAAAATATCTGTCGTACATAAACATTTCAACCTGTCAGCATAAACCACACAATTTATCTTTCAACTCTGTTTTTTTTACCAAAATAACATTCTAAAAAGAGCCCCCTATTTCTAATTTTGAGAGCGCCCTGGGCGCGTATTACGTCGAATACGTTATGGATATTCGGAACTCTTATTTAACAACAACTTCACAATCAATAACCAGACTTTGTTTGAAATGTTGCATTGATAATGATGCATTAAAAATATTATTACAAGTACCTGTATTTTGTTTTTAAAAATGCCCCCAAAAAGTGTTCTTGTGTCATTTGAAAAGCAGATCATGTGTCCAACAATTTGTCCTTTATTAATTACTTAAGCTGAAGACTCGCGAAAATTAAGTTCATGAACCAGAATTCTGAAAAGAATAAATTGTTTGTACTTACTTCAATGGGATGATAAAAGTATTGGTTGAACTGAGTATACAAAATTCACAATCCTTTGTCCATATTATAAAATATGACAGGAGACAGCAGCCTTGACAATGGTTACCATGGTTACATACATATAAATTCCCTGCCATGATATTTTTAACCCCTCTTCACTCTAACCATCATAATCCAAAATGTAATATCTTTAGTCTTGTTAAGATCTAATGATGTGTTTGGCTGAATCCTTGTTCTGGAGTGGGTTTTAGAGTTGATACTTAGTATTCTTATCTGATATGTACCGGCCTCTGCTTACTACGGCCTGAGTAGATCTCTTTCTTTCAATGCCTCATTCTAACTATCTACTGCTTCCCTGTCGGGTGATGTGGGCTAGTTCCTCTAACAGCTGTCTCAGCATCATCCTCTGTAATCCAGGGTATTATATCCCCACTGTATAGTGATCAGGACTCTGGACTCTTTCCTACCTTACCTTCATTTTGAGACCACATTAGCATAATGCTAAAAATAGCCCTCCAATCATATTACTTTAACTGGAAAGAAATTATGCAAAGTTGGAGATGTGGTGGTTGTCATTATATCAGAAATAAAGCTAAGCTTGTGAAGGGTCCAGGGTTTTTTTCAAAATAGGATGGCGATATGATGCACTAGGTGATGGAGGGTGTAACGGCATGTAGATTTTTGGATTCCTGTTTAACAAGATAGTCATCCAATACAGCATCTTATATTCTGAAAAATATTGCATAACAATTTATTGGAATTGTGTGGTAGTTATAAAATTATGAAGTACATGGGTTGTTTTGAAATGATGTAAATGATTTGTTATGAATTATTGATTTATTAACTGATAAGGTAAGTTGTGTCTTACTTTGTTCTGCAGCCATTTCTCTAGCTGTGCTTATTACCATGGAGTCGACTCAGTGCACCCATTTTATGCCAACATTTCAATTTGCGGGACTGCCCTTGTATGTGTCGTTAACAACAGCTGGACCAAACCTTTGGGATTTCCAGCGTCAAAGAGCTCTGTTTATCATTATGATTATGATTATCATTATATGAGTCTCTGCAATTGAAAACTTTTTTTTTTGTATAATTGTTTTGATAGAAATTCAAAAAGTAATTCTGTTTCAATTTTCAAACTGTTTGGTAAAATCGTTGAAAATGACAAAACAGCTGCAAATACACATTAAGCAAAATAAATAAATCATATATATTAGGATTCAAAATAAACTTAAATCCATATACTTCCAAGCAGGTAAGGGGCGGTCGGGTAGCCTAGTGGTTACAGCGTTCGCTCGTCACGCCGGAGACCCGGGTTCGATTCCCGACATGCGTACAATGTGTGAAGCCCATTTCTGGTGTCCCCCGCCGTGATATTGCTGGAATATTGCTAAAAGCAGCGTAAAATCAAACTCACTCACTCACTCACTCCAAGCAGGTAACTTCTTCGTTACTACATTCTCTCAATCATACATGTAGTTTTGGGCCTAAGTTTAATGTCTATTTTTTCTTATGCTGAAAAGATATTTTAATTTATCTATTTTTTGGCCAATGAACGGCTTATGTTATGTCACAATCAACATCATGGTTGTCAGGAAGTAAGCATACATCGCACAGTCCTGTGAACTGCACTGTTCCAACAATTGTCCAATATTGGTCAAACATAGTCAAACATGGTAGTAAGTCAGCTGTAGAGAAATGACTGCAGTTTTGTTTCTACATGTTGTCTCAGTGGGGAATATGTCATGCGTGGAAGGGAATTATGGGTTATCTCCCTTCGATGTCAAGGGAGGTGACTCACAAGTCTGAGACACTATTGACCTAGTCTTGTTATTGCCCATTGACGGAAGGAGTTTTAAAGATATTAAAGGTTTAAACCATGTAGGGAATTTGGCGTAAGGAGAGTGATGCTCTTGCCAAGTGATAGAATAGAACTTATGCTTATCCGATTTATTGTCAGTGAGTTTTCATTGTGCCTAACTATGAATCAAGTAGTCCCAGCTCCATGTAGTCCGTGGGTAGTAAATGTCTGGCAACAGACTGTAATAAGCCATCAGGTTGTCCACGCTCCGTGTAGTCCGTGGGAAGTAAATGTCTGTATAACAGACTGTAATTAGCCATCAGGTAGTCGCAGCTCCGTGTAGTCCGTGGGAAGTAAATGTCTGGCAACAGACTGTAATAAGCCATCAGGTTGTCACAGCTCCGTGTAGTCCGTGGGAAGTAAATGTCTGTATAACAGACTGTAATTAGCCATCAGGTAGTCGCAGCTCCGTGTAGTCCGTGGGAAGTAAATGTCTGTATAACAGACTGTAATAAGCCATCAGGTTGTCCCAGCTCCGTGTAGTCTGTGGGTAGTAAATGTCTGTATAACAGACTGTAATTAGCCATCAGGTAGTCCCAGCTCCGTGTAGTCCGTGGAAGTAAATGTCTGGCAACAGACTGTAATTAGCCATCAGGTTGTCCCAGCCCTGTGTAGTCCGTGCAAGTAAATGTTTGGCAACAGACTGTAATAAGCCATCAGGTTGTCCCAGCTCCATCTAGACAGTGGGAAGTAAATGTCTGGCAACAGACTGTAATAAGCCATCAGGTAGTCCCAGCTCCATGTAGTCCGTGGGTAGTAAATGTTGTCTGTCTGTGTGGTGTAGGTTCAAGTGGTATAAGTCACAGCCATGGCTCACCCCAGCTTATAGACACCTTCAACAACCAGGTACCTCAAGCCAACTCCGCCAACCTCAGTCATTACCCAACCAGTAAGTACAAGCACCTGTACAAGCACCTGTACAAGCACCTGTATCAGGGGCTTATGTTCACCTGTTCAGGGGCTGATATTCGCAGAGATGCCAACCATTATTATTTTGGTGAATAGGTAGGATTCTTGTTATCTTCCTCCCAAATTGTGAATTTGGTCATTGTTTTCACGAATTATTTACATGCTTAAAATATCACAGAGCTAACTGTTAATACACTAGTGACATGAACATTCGAGAGCTAGACTTTTCTGACCAATAAGAACCTTACTTTCTATTCACATTGTGTTAAAATATCCACTGTGATACAAGGTCTCTGATTCGTTGTTATGTAAAGGCACACTATCGATCTGTTTTTTGTTAGAGGGTTCGACCACGTGTTTCACTTCCGTCTAGGCCTAATGAAACTGTCAGAGCCAAAACCTGACTCGGAGATTCTCAAACTTGATAACCATTTACAATGTTAGCTAGGGCTGGCTAAAAAAGATTCATAATCGGAATTATCATTGATGTGAAGAAATATGAACAATTATCGATATGAGAATTGTGTCATCGATAATATCTCACCTGAACTATTGTGATGAAATGAAGTTTAGATAACCAAAACAAACCTGTTATTGTCAATCATGTCAATTGCCGAAGATGGAAAGCAACTGTTTTTGTTATATCATAACTGCCAACAAATTAATCCATGCATACCGTATTCGACGTAATAAGCGCCCCGCTCTAATAAGCGCCCACGGCGATATTTGCTAATATATTGGCTAGTGAACAATCCCAATTGGCACCCCTTCCGATTGATCAAGGTACACAAGACTTATTTATTCGTGTATAATACGCACTCGTGTGTTATATGCACCCTTAATCACGGGCAATTAAATTCTGGAAAAATATATCTGTCGTACATAAACATTTCAGGCTGTCAGCATAAACCACGAAATTTATCTTTCAAATCTGTTTTTTTTCTCACCAAAATAATATTCTAATAAGAGCCCCCTGTTTCCAATTTTGAGAGCGCCCTGGGGGCTTATTAAGTCGAATACGGTATATGTGCCACCACTCATCAGTGGGGTAAAATATGTTGATTTCGTTTGGATTTATTTTGCGTATTTGCTCAATGTTACTTCTGATATTTATCAATAATTGATTATCCATCTCTATGATCTATGATCAATAGCCAGCCCATATGTTAACATTTTCACATAAAATTACTTTTATTTTGCCTCAGTGATTGCTCCAAACTTCATTTTGAGTTGGCATCCCTGTGTTTGGCCCCAAGCCTCCAGCAAATGTCTGTTCCAATTTCCCAAATCCTCTTTTGAATGCAATTATAATTTATGCTTTGGCTTAACAGAGGCAAGTTGGATTTCACCAACATGCTGTTATATAACTTAAATACTGTTCCAGCTGTTGAGTTCTGCATTCTAACAAATATTCATCATTACATAAACAGTTCGTAAGAGGCGACTAATGGGATCGGGTGGTCAGGCTCGCTGATTTGGTTGATGCATGTCATTGTATCCAAATTGCGTAGATCGATGCTCATGATGTCAATCACTGGATTGTCTGGTCCAGACTGGACTTTTTGCAGACCACCATCATATAGGTGGAACATAGCTCAGTGTGGCGTTTAACAAAATGTTAAAGCATGAGAGTTACGATCACCTAAGCGCTAAGATCGCTTTGTGAAACGGGGCCCTCGTTTGTTGCCGCTGAAAACTCACATGGTGTGGCAAGTTGCTCCGGAAGAATTCCATGACAAAATTTGTAGTTGTGAAAGCGTTCAGAATAACACGATTTAACAAAAATCTTTCGCCAACTTCTGAAATTTATCAAACACGAGCTTGGTATCACAGCTGTAATTTGATTGGCTGCCTGAGGTCATGTGCTCAAAATTGACCAATCACGAATCTTGTAGCAGATTTCAGCAAGAAAGCGTCATTAGAAACCAATTTTAATCCAATGAAATCGCTTGTTATAACTACAGAAAAAAAACCAGGCGATGTAACGAAAGCGTGATTACGAAATTTCTCTCAGCTAATTTATTGTACCATTTAACAAGTACATGTAGTTAGACATGTAGACAGTGATAGTAATTTCCAATATTACTTGCCTCCGGACAAGTTAAAGTAAGTGTTTTTGTTGCCCGACCTCGTATTTCTACTTGCCCCGGGAGTCGGGAAATGGCAAATTTCCACCCCTGAATTCTACGTTGCATCGCTGACCAATCAAAGCCACTGACTGTATTTTATCCTGCAATAAAGTACACGTTCAGTGATGTCCTAATGGACTGATGTCATGGCGCTGTTCATTTTACCTCCCACTTGATCTAACGTATCCTTGGTAACTTCATGTCAAGCAAGATGGCACATCCACATCACATCAGTTTTTTGGTGAAATACTTTCTTTACACCTGTGAATATTTGAATATCATTACCTATTTAAATCTACAAATTTTTTACTTATATGATATCGTAGCACTAAGGTGATCGTAACTCCCATACTATGACATAGGTTTATCATATCGTAGCGCTAAGGTGATCGTAACTCCCATACTATGACATAGGTTTATCATATCATAGCGCTAAGGTGATCGTAATTCCCATACTTTGACATAGGTTTACGATCATCGTAGTGCTAAGGTGATTGTAACTCCCATACTTTGACATATATGATATCGTAGCGCTAAGGTGATCGTAACTCCCATACTATAACATAGGTTTATGATACCGTAGCGCTAAGGCGATCGTAACTCCCATACTATGACATAGGTTACGATCATCGTAGTGCTAATGTTGTTTTGTACAACGGCACCCAGGCCCTGGTGTATCTGAACAATCCCACCAGTCCCAAATTTGTGGAATAGACCCAGATCACTGGCCTGAGGAGATAGAGAAATAGGTTTAAACTTGAATCTGAAATTTATGCTTTTCCTTAAAAGGTATTGTGATGTGTTATCTATTATGTCATATTTCCAAAATACTTGTACATATATATAGCAAGGAAGCTTGCGGCACGGTATGGAAAATGGGAACCCGAAACCTTTGAACCCACAGGTACCAGAGGTGTGTCTGGACTTGCCTAGAGGCCGCTAGTCGGCCCCAAGTCTGCAGGAAATGTTAGAAAAACTCCCAAATTAAATCTCATTCATGTTTATATAGTTATAACTAATGTTATGGATTTTTAGAGGTTACATCCATTTTGCTGATAAATAATGACTGGTGAGTCTTTAATACATCATTTCAGAATGTTGCACTGAATGCAATGTTAGAATATTATGTTAAAATCATTTTTTAACGCAATTTTAAACAAAATAACAATTTTTTCCCAATTTGCCTGACAAGGTAACCCCCACTGTTAGACCCCTAGATACTGGGAGGTGATGTTAAGTGTCCGGCTGGCCATGATCTGTTGAGGCTTGTTGTGAGTGCTGCTTGCTGCTCTGGTTGTGAGACTTATGCCACTTGTACCAACATAGTGAGGGTGTGGTCAGTGGGCGTGGCTGACAGCTGGTGTGCTGTGTCTGTTGCAGGCTCGACAACAACGTGGGTGGGCAGCAACACTGCCACCTACACGCAGAACATGTCCGCGCCACAGTTCTGTAAGTATGACTCCAACATTGGTGGAATGAACTCGATTTACCAAAATACGTTGATTATGTTGAACGTAATCGTCTTCTAACAAGTTATTGTAACAAATGCTAAATGGTGTCAATTAGTTGATCATGTTTTCTTGTTATTTTTCACAAGCTTGGTATTACTGAAATGCTTGTCAAATTGAAGTTAGACCAAGCTCACACAGTTTGCACAAAATTAACTTGATCAGTTCGCAAGATGTTTGACATTGTTCGCAAAATGTTTGACACTGTTCGTGAGATGTTTGACACTGTTTGCAAGATGTTTTGACACTTGTTTGTAAGATGTTTGACACTGTTTGCGACATGTTTGACACTGTTTGCAACATGTTTTGACACTGTTTGCGACATGTTTAACACTGTTTGCGACATGTTTGACACTGTTTGCAACATGTTTTGACACTTTACAAATGTTTTGACACTGTTTGCAACATGTTTGACACTGCGAGATGTGTGATACCCTTTAAATAAAGAATGTTTGACATTGTTTAGAGGATGTTTGACACTGTTTAGAGGATGTCTGACACTGTTTAGAGGATGTTTGACACTGTTTGCGAATAGTGTATTTCTGTTGCAGGGAACAACAACCAAATCCAGTCTGACATGCAGACTCTGCCACCACTCACCAGCCAACCACGTACGTTCCTCTGTGTTTGCCACCACGGGAACCCCCCACAGTAACTTGTGCTTGTAGCAGGCAACTAAAATGGGTCGGGTGGTCTCGCTCACCGAATTGATTGATATTTCTTTCTTCATTGTACAAGCAGACAAACAAACATCAACGTGTATGCACGTCAATACGTAAGTGAAATAATCTTGAACCGTTAAAGCCAATTTCTCATCTCATCTCATGTTATGAGTTTATTGTTTAATTGATTCCATCAGCTCCTGAATTCTGGTGTACCATCACCTACTTCGAGTTGGACCAGCAGGTCGGGGAGACGTTCAAGGTCCCGTACAGCTGCTCCACCGTCACAGTCGATGGCTACACTGACCCCTCCAGCATTGACAGATTCTGTCTCGGCCAGCTGTCCAACGTACACCGGACAGAGGCCAGTGAAAGAGCCAGGTGAGTTACCCCCCTTGTATAAACTGACAGGTTCTGCCTCGGCCAGTTGTCCAACATACGCACACCGGACAGAGGCCATGTCGGTTACCCCCCTTGTGTGAACTGACAGGTTCTGCCTCGGCCAGTTGTCCAACGTACACCAGACAGAGGCCCTGTCAGTTACCCCTCTTGTGTGAACTGACAAATTCTGTCTCGGCCAGCTGCCCAACGTCCACCGGACAGAGGCCAGCGAAAGAGCCAGGCTGGTTACCCCCCTTGTGTGAACTGATAGGTTCTGCCTTGGCCAGCTGTCTAACGTACACTTGACAGAGGCCATGTCGGTTACCCCCCTTGTGTGAACTGACATGTTCTGCTTCGGCCAGCTGTCCAACATACACACTCCGGACAGAGGCCATGCCGGTTACCCCCCTTGTGTGAACTGACAGGTTCTGCCTCGGCCAGCTGTCCAACATACACACACCGGACAGAGGCCATGTCGGTTACCCCCCTTGTGTGAACTGACATGTTCTGCCTCGGCCAGCTGTCCAACAAACACACTCCGGACAGAGGCTATGTCGGTTACCCCCCTTGTGTGAACTGACAGGTTCTGCCTTGGCCAGCTGTCCAACGTACACTGGACAGAGGCCATGTCGGTTACCCCCCTTGTGTGAACTGACAGGTTCTGCCTCGGCCAGTTGTCTAACGTACACTGGACAGAGGCCATGTCGGTTACCCCCCTTGTGTGAACTGACAGGTTCTGCCTCGGCCAGTTGTCTAACGTACACTGGACAGAGGCCATGTCGGTTACCCCCCTTGTGTGAACTGACAGGTTCTGCCTCGGCCAGTTGTCTAACGTACACTGGACAGAGGCCATGTCGGTTACCTCTCTTGTGTGAAGTGACAGGTTCTGCTTCGGCCAGCTGTCTAACGTACACTGGACAGAGGCCATGTCGGTTACCCCCCTTGTGTGAACTGACAAATTCTGCCTCGGCCAGCTGTCCAACGTACACCAGACAGAGGCCCTGTCAGTTACCCCCCTTGTGTGAACTGACAAATTCTGCCTCGGCCAGCTGTCCAACGTACACCAGACAGAGGCCCTGTCAGTTACCCCCCTTGTGTGAACTGACAGGTTCTGCTTCGGCCAGCTGTCCAACATACACACTCCGGACAGAGGCCATGTCAGTTACCCCCCTTGTGTGAACTGACAGGTTCCGCCTCGGCCAGTTGTCCAACGTACACACACAGGACAGAGGCCATGTCGGTTACCCCCCTTGTGTGAACTGACATGTTCTGCCTTGGCCAGCTGTCCAACATACACACACTGGACAGAGGCAGGTCGGTTACCTCTCTTGTGTGAACTGACAGGTTCCGCCTCGGCCAGTTGTCCAACGTACACACACAGGACAGAGGCCATGTCTGTTACCCCCCTTGTGTGAACTGACATGTTCTGCCTCGGCCAGTTGCCTAACGTACACTGGACAGAGGCCATGTCTGTTACCCCCCTTGTGTGAACTGACAGGTTCTGCCTCGGCCAGCTGTCTAACGTACACTGGACAGAGGCCATGTCGGTTACCCCCCTTGTGTGAACTGACAGGTTCTGCCTCGGCCAGCTGTCTAACGTACACTGGACAGAGGCCATGTCGGTTACCCCCCTTGTGTGAACTGACATGTTCTGCCTCGGCCAGCTGTCTAACGTACACTGGACAGAGGCCATGTCGGTTACCCCCCTTGTGTGAACTGACATGTTCCGCCTCGGCCAGCTGTCTAACGTACACTGGACAGAGGCCATGTCGGTTACCCCCCTTGTGTGAACTGACAGGTTCCGCCTCGGCCAGTTGTCTAACGTACACTGGACAGAGGCAGGTCGGTTACCTCTCTTGTGTGAACTGACATGTTCTGCCTCGGCCAGTTGTCTAACGTACACTGGACAGAGGCCATGTCGGTTACCCCCCTTGTGTGAACTGACATGTTCTGCCTCGGCCAGCTGTCTAACGTACACTGGACAGAGGCCATGTCGGTTACCCCCCTTGTGTGAACTGACATGTTCCGCCTCGGCCAGCTGTCTAACGTACACTGGACAGAGGCCATGTCGGTTACCCCCCTTGTGTGAACTGACAGGTTCTGCTTCGGCCAGCTGTCTAACGTACACACACCGGACAGAGGCCATGTCGGTTACCCCCCTTGTGTGAACTGACAGGTTCTGCTTCGGCCAGCTGTCTAACGTACACACTCTGGACAGAGGCCATGTCGGTTACCCCCCTTGTGTGAACTGACAGGTTCTGCTTCGGCCAGCTGTCTAACGTACACTGGACAGAGGCCATGTCGGTTACCCCCCTTGTGTGAACTGACAGGTTCCGCCTCGGCCAGCTGCCTAACGTACACACTCCGGACAGAGGCCCTGTCGGTTACCCCCCTTGTGTGAACTGACATGTTCTGCCTCGGCCAGCTGCCTAACGTACACTGGACAGAGGCCATGTCGGTTACCCCCCTTTGTGTGAACTGACATGTTCTGCCTCAGCCAGCTGTCTAACGTACACTGGACAGAGGCCATGTCGGTTACCCCCCTTGTGTGAACTGACATGTTCTGCCTCGGCCAGCTGTCTAACGTACACTGGACAGAGGCCATGTCGGTTACCCCCCTTGTGTGAACTGACATGTTCTGCCTCGGCCAGCTGCCTAACGTACACTGGACAGAGGCCATGTCGGTTACCCCCCTTGTGTGAACTGACAGGTTCCGCCTCGGCCAGCTGTCTAACGTACACCGGACAGAGGCCATGTCGGTTACCCCCCTTGTGTGAACTGACATGTTCTGCCTTGGCCAGCTGTCTAACGTACACTGGACAGAGGCCATGTCGGTTACCCCCCTTGTGTGAACTGACATGTTCTGCCTCGGCCAGCTGTCTAACGTACACTGGACAGAGGCTATGTCTGTTACCCCCCTTGTGTGAACTGACATGTTCCGCCTCGGCCAGCTGTCTAACGTACACACTCCGGACAGAGGCCATGTCGGTTACCCCCCTTGTGTGAACTGACATGTTCTGCCTCGGCCAGCTGTCTAACGTACACTGGACAGAGGCCATGTCGGTTACCCCCCTTGTGTGAACTGACATGTTCTGCCTCGGCCAGCTGTCTAACGTACACTGGACAGAGGCCATGTCGGTTACCCCCCTTGTGTGAACTGACAGGTTCTGCCTCGGCCAGCTGTCTAACGTACACACTCCGGACAGAGGCCATGTCGGTTACCCCCCTTGTGTGAACTGACATGTTCTGCCTCGGCCAGCTGTCTAACGTACACTGGACAGAGGCCATGTCGGTTACCTCTCTTGTGTGAACTGACATGTTCTGCCTCGGCCAGCTGTCTAACGTACACTGGACAGAGGCCATGTCGGTTACCCCCCTTGTGTGAACTGACATGTTCTGCCTCGGCCAGCTGTCTAACGTACACTGGACAGAGGCCATGTCGGTTACCCCCCTTGTGTGAACTGACAGGTTCTGCCTCGGCCAGCTGTCTAACGTACACTGGACAGAGGCCATGTCGGTTACCCCCCTTGTGTGAACTGACAGGTTCTGCCTCGGCCAGCTGTCTAACGTACACTGGACAGAGGCCATGTCGGTTACCCCCCTTGTGTGAACTGACAGGTTCTGCCTCGGCCAGCTGTCTAACGTACACTGGACAGAGGCCATGTCGGTTACCCCCCTTGTGTGAACTGACAGGTTCCGCCTCGGCCAGTTGTCTAACGTACACTGGACAGAGGCAGGTCGGTTACCTCTCTTGTGTGAACTGACATGTTCTGCCTCGGCCAGTTGTCTAACGTACACACTCCGGACAGAGGCCATGTCGGTTACCCCCCTTGTGTGAACTGACATGTTCTGCCTTGGCCAGCTGTCCAACATACACACACTGGACAGAGGCAGGTCGGTTACCCCCCTTGTGTGAACTGACAGGTTCTGCCTCGGCCAGCTGTCCAACATACACACTCCGGACAGAGGCCATGTCAGTTACCCCCCTTGTGTGAACTGACAGGTTCCGCCTCGGCCAGTTGTCCAACGTACACACACCGGACAGAGGCCATGTCGGTTACCCCCCTTGTGTGAACTGACAGGTTCCGCCTCGGCCAGCTGTCTAACGTACACTGGACAGAGGCCATGTCTGTTACCCCCCTTGTGTGAACTGACAGGTTCCGCCTCGGCCAGCTGTCTAACGTACACTGGACAGAGGCAGGTCGGTTACCTCTCTTGTGTGAACTGACAGGTTCCGCCTCGGCCAGTTGTCTAACGTACACTGGACAGAGGCCATGTCGGTTACCCCCCTTGTGTGAACTGACAGGTTCCGCCTCGGCCAGCTGTCTAACGTACACTGGACAGAGGCCATGTCGGTTACCCCCCTTGTGTGAACTGACATGTTCTGCCTTGGCCAGCTGCCTAACGTACACTGGACAGAGGCCATGTCGGTTACCCCCCTTGTGTGAACTGACAGGTTCCGCCTCGGCCAGCTGTCTAACGTACACTGGACAGAGGCCATGTCGGTTACCCCCCTTGTGTGAACTGACAGGTTCTGCCTCGGCCAGCTGTCTAACGTACACTGGACAGAGGCCATGTCGGTTACCCCCCTTGTGTGAACTGACAGGTTCTGCCTCGGCCAGCTGTCTAACGTACACCAGACAGAGGCCATGTCGGTTACCCCCCTTGTGTGAACTGACATGTTCCGCCTCGGCCAGCTGTCTAACGTACACACTCCGGACAGAGGCCATGTCGGTTACCTCTCTTGTGTGAACTGACATGTTCTGCCTCGGCCAGCTGCCTAACGTACACACACCGGACAGAGGCCATGTCGGTTACCTCTCTTGTGTGAACTGACATGTTCCGCCTCGGCCAGCTGTCTAACGTACACACACCGGACAGAGGCCATGTCGGTTACCTCTCTTGTGTGAACTGACATGTTCCGCCTCGGCCAGCTGTCTAACGTACACACACCGGACAGAGGCCATGTCGGTTACCCCCCTTGTGTGAACTGACATGTTCTGCCTCGGCCAGTTGTCTAACATACACTGGACAGAGGCCATGTCGGTTACCCCCCTTGTGTGAACTGACATGTTCTGCCTCGGCCAGCTGCCTAACGTACACAGGACAGAGGCCAGCGACTCACAATGAAGCCAGTTCCAACATGTTAGCCTGAACTGAAACTTTCACATCGAATGAATGTCCGTTGCTTTGTTGTATATTTAAGTGCAGATGCACCATGTAACTCATGCACTGATTGTTCCAGACTGCACATAGGTAAAGGCGTGCACCTGAACTATCGCGGTGAGGGTGACGTGTGGATCCGATGCGTCAGTGACCACAGCGTGTTCGTACAAAGCTACTACCTGGACAGAGAGGCAGGACGGGCCCCGGGTGACGCTGTGCATAAGATATACCCTAGTGCTTACATCAAGGTGGGTGACCAATATGCCTGTGTGCATTCATTGAGATTGGTCAGAGAAACATATACCCGAGGAACTGTGTGTTTGGCAGGTGCTTGTCATGTGTTGTGTGACTTGTTTGGCAGGTGCTTGACATGTTAGATGTGTGACTTGTTTGGGAGATGCTTGACATGTCAGTTGTGTGACTTGTTTGGGAGATGCTTGACATGTTAGATGTGTGACTTGTTTGGCAGGTGCTTGACATGTCAGTTGTGTGACTTGTTTGGGAGATGCTTGACATGTCAGTTGTGTGACTTGTTTTGGAGGTGCTTGACATGTTAGTTGTGTGACTTGTTTGGCAGGTGCTTGTCATGCTAGTTGTGTGACTTGTTTGGCAGGTGCTTGTCATGTTAGTTTTGTGACTTGTTTGGCAGGTGCTTGTCATGTTAGTTGTGTGACTTGTTTGGCAGGTGCTTGACATGTTAGTTGTGTGACTTGTTTGGCAGGTGCTTGTGATGTTAGTTGTGTGACTTGTTTGATTGTTTGGCAGGTGCTTGACATGATTAGCTGTTTGGTTGTGTGGCTTGTTTGCCTGACTGGCAGGTGCTTGACATGTTTTGTTTTAGAACATGTTTGTTTTATATCTTTGACTACCTGACTGGTGCTTGTTTTCACCTTTGTGACATAGAAATGTTCCTTATTCTTGTAGGTGTTCGACATACGTCAGTGTCATCGTCAGATGCAGCAACAAGCAGCAACAGCCCAGGCAGCGGCGGCGGCGCAAGCAGCAGCAGTGGCGGGGAACATCCCGGGGCCGGCATCAGTCGGAGGTATTGCCCCTGCTGTGGGTGAGTCCGGCACTGAGATCTACCCCACACGCGACTCAGGGGGAGGGGCACATGGCTCATACTTGCATCTATGTCCAGTGAAACCAAGCATGTTTCTGGTCCCAACTTATCAACAGTTGTCCACATGACTTTCAAAAGTCCACAAACATAAAGCTTACACACAATTATCATTAGTTTGTGTTTTGACTGCACTATCGTTGCTCGGGAAGTTACCTGAGCCAAACCTCGAGTAGCTTCAGTGACATGAACATGTGGTAGTCAAGCACAGCATTCCTGGCTTTGTTTGGCCAGCTCCAGGAGAGGTAGACGACAAGAGCACAGCTGGTGTATGACCTGTACAACCTGACAGTGGTGTATGACCTGTACAGCCTGACAGTGGTGTATGACCTGTACAGCCTGACAGTGGTGTATGACCTGTACAGCCTGACAGTGGTGTATGACCTGTACAGCCTTACAGTGGTGTATGACCTGTACGGCCTGACAGTGGTGTATGACCTGTACGGCCTGACAGTGGTGTATGACCTGTACAGCCTGACAGTGGTGTATGACCTGTACAGCCTGACAGTGGTTACGACCTGTACAGCCTGACAGTGGTGTTTGACCTGTACAGCCTGACAGTGGTTACGACCTGTACAGCCTGACAGTGGTGTATGACCTGTACAGCCTGACAGTGGTGTATGACCTGTACAGACAGTGGTGTATGACATGTACAGCCTGACAGTGGTGTATGACCTGTACAGCCTGACAGTGGTGTATGACCTGTACAGCCTGATAGTGGTGTATGACCTGTACAGCCTGACAGTGGTTACGACCTGTACAGCCTGACAGTGGTGTTTGACCTGTACAGCCTGACAGTGGTTACGACCTGTACAGCCTGACAGTGGTGTATGACCTGTACAGCCTGACAGTGGTGTATGACCTGTACAGCCTGACAGTGATGTATGACCTGTACAGCCTGACAGTGGTGTATGACCTGTACAGCCTGACAGTGGTTATGACCTGTACCGCCTGACAGTGGTTACGACCTGTACAGCTTGACAGTGATGTATGACCTGTACAGCCTGACAGTGGTGTATGACCTGTACAGCCTGACAGTGGTGTATGACCTGTACAGCCTGACAGTGGTGTATGACCTGTACAGCCAGATCCAGACAGTGGTGTATGACCTGTACAGCCAGATCCAGACAGTGGTGTATGACCTGTACAGCCTGACAGTGATGTATGACCTTTACAGCCTGACAGTGATGTATGACCTGTACCGCCTGACAGTGGTTACGACCTGTACAGCTTGACAGTGGTGTATGACCTGTACAGCCTGACAGTGGTTACGACCTGTACAGCCTGACAGTGGTGTATGACCTGTACAGCCTGACAGTGGTGTATGACCTGTACAGCCTGACAGTGGTGTATGACCTGTACAGCCAGATCCAGACAGTGGTGTATGACCTGTACAGCCTGACAGTGATGTATGACCTTTACAGCCTGACAGTGATGTATGACCTGTATTGCTTGACAGTGGTTATGACCTGTACCGCCTGACAGTGGTGTATGACCTGTACAGCCTGACAGTGGTGTATGACCTGTATCTCCCGACCATGGTATAAGCCCTTTCTAGGCCCTCCTATCTATTTGAATAAAAAGCATTGAATGGGTTTAGAATGAAGGCATATTAGTCGCATCACTTCCGCATTGGAATTGAATGCATTTACTATGCTAACGAAAAGACACACTATCGGATTTGACAGCAGTCGGTTGCGAAATATGTGCACGGCTGCTATGGAAAACTCTATCAAATGTAGCAGTATGACTTCTGTATCTATCAAAAGCCGATCGTAGTTAATGGACAACACCTTTCTAAAAAAACAGCATGCAGGAAATGGCAGCGATAAGCAAATAAGCGACAAGCAAAGTAATTTCTTTGGTTAGACTGACACGAAGTCTTTACTTTAAAGCATATAATCATGTCATTGATCAACCAGTATTCATATGCATCAAAATTTGTCATGAGGTGGGAGATGTATGAGTTATCACAAATGAATGGGCAGTAGTCCGGTATGGTCTCCGAGCACGTTGAACATGTCTGACTTCTTGCGCATTTGTCCACCAGATCTGGTACAAGCTTACCATTCGACTATTCAAAATACATCAATAATGCATACAAAATACATTTTTGCTGAAAATAAATAATCTGTATTGAAGGGGAATTAAAATTTTTACATTTACTTTCTCTGGAAACAAGTGTTGATTAAAACACTTCCACGTTTTTCTTCTCCGCTCCTGTCAGCCATGTTTCGTGTGCTGTTTCAACAGTAAATGTTTAAATGAATTTAAAGGATACGACCGAGTGTGTTCGGTTGCCGATGCTGTCAGTTCCAATGGCGGCTGTGTGGTGATTCCAATGAGAACCACTGTCCACCAGATCCCAGCAATCTTGGCTACTGTGTTCTAGCCAAAACACACTCATTGTGATCTGGTTATGGCAGATGTTAATAAAATACATATTAATCAATATCTTTGTTTAAATGCCAATTAGCCACAGACAAATTGCCTACTGTTGACATTGACTGACGGTATTTTCTATGAGCCCTGTTATATCAACAATTATTTGGCAAATACTAGATCTAGCTCTAAGACCTGTGAATGAAATTAAGGTGCAGTCAATCATCTAGCTCTATGACAGATAAGCTTACCATTCGACTATTCAAAATACATCAACAATGCATACAAAATACATTTTTGCTGAAAATAAATAATCTGTATTGAAGGGGAATTAAAAATTTTACATTTACTTTCTCTGGAAACACATGTTGATTAAAACACTTCCATGTTTTTCTTCTCCGCTCCTGTCAGCCATGTTTCGTGTGCTGTTTCAACAGTAAATGTTTAAATGTTGTTGTAGGTCACCGAAATGCTGATTTTAAAGGATATGACAGAGTGTGTTCGGTTGCCGATGCTGTCAGTTCCAATGGCGGCTGTGTGGTGATTCCAATGAGAACCACTGTTACGACGATAGTTATTGAATTTATATCGCTATTCCTATATATATGACTATTCCTTTGCTCTTGGTAGCTGTACACACAATGAAGCTTGCATTAATTCTGATAATGCACCTGTTTATTCAAATAGATAGAGGGCCTGGGTTTTTTTCAACCATAGTGTTAGACCTGTATATCCCGATCATGGGGTTAGACCTTTGTCTCTCGACCATGGTGTTAGACCCGACCATGGTGTTAGACCTGACCATGGTGTTAGACCCAACCATGGTGTTAGACCTGACCATGGTGTTAGACCTGTATCTCTCGACCATGGTGTTAGCCCCGACCATGGTGTTAGACCTGACCATTGTGTTAGACCTGACCATGGTGTTAGACCTGACCATGGTGTTAGCCCCGACCATGGTGTTAGACCTGACCATTGTGTTAGACCTGACCATGGTGTTAGACCTGACCATGGTGTTAGACCTGACCATGGTGTTAGACCTGACCATGGTGTTAGACCTGACCATGGTGTTAGACCCAACCATGGTGTTAGACCTGACCATGGTGTTAGACCTGACCATGGTGTTAGACCCAACCATGGTGTTAGACCTGACCATGGTGTTAGACCCAACCACGGTGTTAGGCCTGACTCTCGACCATGGTGTTAGACCTGACCATGGTGTTAGACCTGACCATGGTGTTAGACCTGACTCTCGACCAAGGTGTTAGACCTGTATCTCCCGACCATGGTGTTAGCCCCGACCATGGTGTAAGACCCGACCATGGTGTGAGACCCGACCATGGTGTAAGACCTGACCATGGTGTTAGACCTGACTCTTGACCATGATGATAGACCAGTATCTCCCGACCATGGTGTTAGACCCAACCATGGTGTTGGACCTGACCATGGTGTTAGACCTGACTCTTGACCAAGGTGTTAGACCTGTATCTCCCGACCATGGTGTTAGCCCCGACCATGGTGTTGGACCTGACTCTTGACCAAGGTGTTAGACCTGTATCTCCCGACCATGGTGTTAGCCCCGACCATGGTGTAAGACCCGACCATGGTGTTAGCCCCGACCATGGTGTTAGCCCCGACCATGGTGTTAGACCTGACTCTTGACCAAGGTGTTAGACCTGTATCTCCCGACCATGGTGTTAGCCCCGACCATGGTGTAAGACCCGATCATGGTGTGAGACCCGACCATGGTGTAAGACCTGACCATGGTGTTAGACCTGACTCTTGACCATGATGATAGACCAGTATCTCCCGACCATGGTGTTAGACCCAACCATGGTGTTGGACCTGACCATGGTGTTAGACCTGACTCTTGACCAAGGTGTTAGACCTGTATCTCCCGACCATGGTGTTAGCCCCGACCATGGTGTTAGACCTGACTCTCGACCATGGTGTTAGACCCAACCATGGTGTTGGACCTGACTCCCGACCATGGTGTTAGACCTGTAACTCCCGATCATAGTGTTAGACCTGACTCCAGACCATGATGTTAGACCCGACCATTAGACCTGTATCTCCCAACCATATTGTAAGACACATCCATGGTGTTAGACCTGAAACCCCCCGACCATGGCGTTAGACCCGACCATAGTGTTAGACCTGACCATGGTGTTAGACCCGACCATTAGACCTGTAACTCCAAACCATAATGTAAGACACATCCATGGTGTTAGACCTGAAACCTCCCGACCATGGCATTAGACCCGACCATGGTGTGTGACCTGACCATGGTGTTAGACCGGACCATTGTGTTAGACCTGACTCCCGACCATGGTGTTAGACCTGACTCCCGACCGTGATGTTAGACCCGACCATTAGACCTGTATCTCCCAAAATGCTGTTTGACCTGATCATGGTGTTAGACCTGTAACTCCCAATCATAATGTAAGACCCAACCATGGTGTTAGACCTGAAACCCCCCGACCATGGTGTAAGACCTGTATCTCCCGACCATGGTGTAAGACCTGCATACACTGGTGTAAGACCTGTATCTCCCGACCATGGTGTAAGACCTGCAAACACTGGTGTAAGACCTGTATCTCCTGACCATGGTGTAAGACCTGCATACACTGGTGTAAGACCTGTATCTCCCGACCATGGTGTAAGACCTGTATCTCCTAACCATAATGTAAGACCCAACCATGGTGTAAGACCTGTATCTCCCGACCATGGTGTAAGACCTGCATACACTGGTGTAAGACCTGTATCTCCCGACCATGGTGTAAGACCTGTATCTCCTAACCATAATGTAAGACCCAACCATGGTGTAAGACCTGTATCTCCCGACCATGGTGTAAGGCCTGCATACACTGGTGTAAGACCTGTATCTCCCGACCATGGTGTAAGGCCTGCATACACTGGTGTAAGACCTGTATCTCCCGACCATGGTGTAAGACCTGCATACACTGGTGTAAGACCTGTATCCCCCGACCATGGTGTAAGACCTGCATACACTGGTGTAAGACCTGTATCTCCCGACCATGGTGTAAGACCTGTATCTCCTAACCATAATGTAAGACCCAACCATGGTGTAAGACCTGTATCTCCCGACCATGGTGTAAGACCTACATACACTGGTGTAAGACCTGTATCTCCCGACCATGGTGTAAGACCTATATCTCCTAACCATAATGTAAGACCCAACCATGGTGTAAGACCATGGTGTAAGGCCTGCATACACTGGTGTAAGACCTGTTCATTGCCACAGTTGTGTATAATGTCAGCAATGCCATGTGCCTCTCCCGCTATTTCCTGTCCCTCGCGTGTGGTGACGACCACAGATGCTGCTCACAGTGGGGTAAGCTTTTGTTTCCTCTTTTGCCTTTTCTGTTGTTCTCTTCAGTTTCTAACTCAAACTCACTTCGCAGACGTTGATTTGAGAAATCTACTGGCCATTAGTGCAAGCTAGAGTTGAACGAGAACTGATAAACGCCCAGAACTCACAAGCAAGTGGACGCACAAACGGCAAACTGTTTCGCTTCCACTTTTTTCTGTTGAACATTGAATCAATGAATCTCCCTTAGCACATACTTACTTTGACATATATCATTTCAGTTGATGCCAATTAGACACTGGTATATTTTGTCAATATTTCAGGTAAACTTATTAAGGTCCCTCTTGCAAAGCCTGGATTTTCAGTGTGAACCTTGAAAAGCCTTGACGTTTAGTGTCAACCTTGAAAAGGCCTTGACTTTTAGTGTCAACCTTGAAAAGCCTTGATGTTTAGTGTCAACCTTGAAAACTTTAAAGCCTTGATGTTTAGTGTCAACCTTGAAAAAGCCTTGATGTTTAGTGTCAACCTTGAAAAAGCCTTGATGTTTAGTGTCAACCTTGAAAAGCTTTGATGTTTAGTGTCAACCTTGAAAAGCCTTGACGTTTAGTGTCAACCTTGAAAAGGCCTTGATGTTTAGTGTCAACCTTGAAAAGCCTTGACGTTTAGTGTCAACCTTGAAAAGCCTTGACGTTTAGTGTCAACCTTGAAAAGCCTTGATGTTTAGTGTCAACCTTGAAAAGCCTTGATGTTTAGTGTCAACCTTGAAAAGCCTTGACGTTTAGTGTCAACCTTGAAAATCACAAAAATAACTTGAAAATGTGTGATGGACGTACTGCTTTTTAGGTCTTATGACTCATATATAGTATGCTGGATTTAATAAAGTATTGACAGACTTAAGCTCATAACCCAACTATTAAAGCCTTGAAAATGACAGTTGGTAGCTTTGAAGTTTTGTGTACCGTATCTGTATGAACCTTGATGTTACGTTAAGTTGACTGAGACTTGGATGTAAATGCAAGGCTGATGCTAAAGCAAGGCTAATGCTAATGCACAATAAGAAAACACTTCGTTTTTTTATTTACTTAATTTTCATTTCTTGCCTCGGTAAGTTCAGCAACAAATTCAAGTCATCTTTGTCATAACCAAAATGTTGAATGTTTGAGAGTGAGAGGCCCCTATATTCAAGTACTAAGCACTAAACGCCAAGGTCCTCCTGTCCGAAGCTACACTTTCTACTCTTTCAAGGGTCGGTGAGGTAGCCTAGTGGTTAAAGCATTCGCTCGTCACGCTGAAGACCCGGGTTCGATTCCCGACATGGGTACAATGTGTGAAGCCCATTTCTGGTGTCCCCCGCCGTGATATTGCTGGAATATTGCTAAAAGCAGCGTAAAACCATACTCACTGACACTCACTATTTCAAATAATATTTTTATGAAGTTGAACATTATTTAGGGACTGGTCATTTATTATGGGGGGGGGAGGGTGTATTTGGGGATGGCTATGAATAAATGGAACATACAATGGGAGATAAAGGGTCGACAAAATTTGATGCAGCACTATGACCGATCTCTCTGGCCTGCCCTATAATAAATGTTCAGTCCCTGAGATAAACCACTTGCCAAGAATCAATTGCTAGTTGCATTAAACTTGTCATTGAATTACGTGAAAACATTGATAACATGATGAGTACTTTTGGATGTCTTACAATATTCATATTGGAAAACAATCTTTTACAAGGGGACCCGTGAAGATCCTAGGTAGAATAGATCTTCAGCGACCCATGCTTGCCGTAAAAGGTGACTAACGGGATCGGGTTTTTAGGCTCGCTGACTTGGTTGATGCATGTCTTCGATCCAAAGTGCGTGGATCGATGGTCATGATATTAATCACTGGATTGTCTGGTCCAGACTTGATTATTTACAGACAGCCATCATACAGCTGGAATATTGCTGAGTGCGGCGTTAAGCAACAAACCAACAAACCAACCAACCAACCTTTACAAGGGACATTTTGAATGAAATGTGAATTTTGTGATACAAAATTTCTAGACATGATTACAATTTCAGTTGTATTTCATGTTATGTTATGATTTTATTATCTACAGAAATTGAGATGATTACGTGTAATTGCTATTTTCAACTTCTTTTATAAATGAGACAATCAACTGTTCACACATTCTGAGATTATAACTCAAAAGAATCTTTCTGCAATGATCAGAAGAAATTAAGTCTGAATCTGTATTCAGAATAATATTTTCTAATATCTTGTTTTGTAAGATGGTGCTTTTACTTTATGGGTTTAAGATAAATGTAGTCACAAGTAAAGCACATTGGTCTTAAACTGGTTAGTTTTTACATGTGAAACAGTTGGACGAGACACCATTTGAGATCAAATAATCAGTGATCGCGACATTAAGGCATCCCATGGTTTTGCTATTTCAATCCCGAAAACAATACTTGGACATACAATTGTCAAATAACAACAATGACACGAGTCAAGGTGTGATAATAGAACAGAGCTCCAGATAAGCTGCGTATATGCGTAAAATACGCATCAGAAATGCAGAAATACGCAGTAAAATAAAATCCAAGTGTATCAAATACGCAACGAACATTACAGATACGCTACAAAAAGAAAACTTGTACGTATCATCAAAATATTGTGAAGTAACCCTGCATATTCGATTAGCAAATCAGCAACTTATTTTGAAATTATAGATGGGCATTCCGTCAACCTTGCCAAACTCCACGGTGACCGTTACATCATGATCATTTGCCATCACACTTTCTTGTGGAAGTATCGTGGCTTTTTTGAGTCCTATAAAGCTCTCGAACTCACACGACACCAGTTTTTCAGGGATTAGATGAATAGTGTTTTTAAATATTTAACTTAAATACCCACACGTGTAAAAACTAGTGGGTAACAGAAATTTGAATACCCAGATAGAATTACTGATACCCAATTATTTTGAAATGCATGGGTAAAATACCCACAACACCAAAAGCTTATCTGGAGCTCTGATATAAGTTGTAGCAGGATCACTCAGGGTACATGGGGTTTTATCCTTCCCTTGTAAGGTTGTATACCACGGGCCGGAAGGATGCATAAGACCCTATGTACCCTGAGTGATCCTGCTACAATGAATTTATCTTTCCGACATGTTTTGATATGACTTTGTAAAAGAATTCAAACAAATTCAAAATTGATAGAAAACACCTTGATTGAGCGGAGGTTAGCTTGTGGCTCTGTCATATGACGTTCATTGACTCGGAAAATTGTGCGGGTTTTTGCATGGAAGCGGGGTGTAAGGGATGTATTCTGCCTCTCAGAAATCCACGTGCAGCCTGACTTGCTTGTGGCGGGGTATAAGAGGTTTATTCCCCCACTGAGAAATTTATTTCTCTCCAAGGCGGGATACATTGTATTTTATCAAGGTCACGTGAACCAATCAAATCTCATCATTCTGACATGGAGGTATGATAAAGTTTGTTTCAAGGCATCAGTGGCATAAATCAAATCATCGTTGCTGTAATTTAGTCAATAACGGTGAGTTTGTGCACTCTCTTCACTTAATTTCCTCAAAATTAAAGTAGTTGTTGTTTGTTGTTTAACACCCCACTCGGCAATAATCCAGCAATATGATTGCGGTCTGTAAATAATGAAGTCTGGACCAGACAATCCAGTGATTGATATCATGAGCAGCAATCTTTGGACTTAGGATATGATGACATGCATCAACCAATTCAGCGAGCCTGACCACCCGATGCCATACAGTAAGAATAACAAATAGCACAAAGGTAATGAAGCCAGATATACAATCTTGATATCCAGCTTAATAATGGTGTAAGAATTGACATCGAAAAATTGCTAATTGCAATAAGCCAGAAGTTAGGCTCGCTGACTTGGTTGATGCATGTCATTGTATCCCAAATACGTGGATCGATGCTCATGATAACAATCACTTTATGTTTGGTTCAGACTCCATTGTTTACAGACCTCCGTCATATAGCTGGAATATTGCTGAGTGCGGCGTTTAACAACAAACAAACAACCAAACAAAAGCTAATCAAACAGTTGATGTAATTATTGCAATACCACAGATTTATAACAGTAATTTACTTTGGTTTGTGGTGTTTTTGTGATGTGCTTTTATCTACATGTTCCCCTCAGTGTTCAAGACCATGATGACTGGTTGTCCAGCAGTCACTTTAAACACTCTCTGCATATGGGAATTCTGGGTTAGAATGGATCCCTAGCAACCTATATTCGTAAGAGGCAACTTAATCAATCGGGTGATCTAGCTTAGTGACTTGGTTGATTCACATGAAACAGTGTCAGTGTGAATGGATTGGACAGCAGTCGTAAGAATATCGTAAGTGATTATCAGACATTGAGACTTTGTTTTAGTGTGTGTTATTGTATAACTCCTCACTCAGCAATATTCAAGCCCTATCATGCCTATGAAGGCAATCTGCAATTATGAGTCTGGACCAGTAAATCCAGTGATCGATATTATGAGCAACGGTCGACACTGTCGAGGTACATTTTTTTACACACCATCAACAAAGTCACTGAGTCTGATCACTGATAGTGTAAGTTGCCCCTTTGTGTTGCTGGGGATCGACAGATAAAAAATAATCTGTTGGTTCACAGATCTTCTTGTCATTTTGCTCCAGTGTCGTGGATCGACGCTACTCAGGTTTTCAGTTTCTGGTTTGCCTGGTCCAGACATTTGGGTCTATCGTGACATTGCTGATTGAAATGCTCTCTTTCTCTCACTCACTCACCCACTCCCCCACTCACTCACTTACTCAAACACCTACTCACTCCCCCACTCACTTTCAAATTCTCTCTCTCTCTCTCTCTCACTCTCTCTCTCTCTCCCTCTCTCTCTCTCTCTCACTCACTCACTCAAACCCCCATTACATCCTACACACCTCCTTTGCTTTTTCTGTAATTCCTTCATTCTGTTTCCTTCAGGACTGTCCGCTGCAGCAGGGATCGGAGTTGACGATCTGCGTCGGCTGTGTATTCTACGACTGAGCTTCGTGAAGGGCTGGGGCCCTGACTACCCACGCAAGAGCATAAAGGAGACGCCATGTTGGATTGAAGTGCAGCTGCACCGACCTCTACAGCTCCTGGACGAGGTCCTGCAAGCCATGCCCCTCAACGACCCCCGACCTCCACGGGGGTTCTTCCTGGGCTGAATGCCAAGTGTTGTGTTGTAAGGGTATTGTTGACGCTTTGTGCGGGTGTTGTGTTATGCTGGTCTGCACAGGACAGGGCTGCAGGGATGGAGCAGTCAGCCGAGTCGACGGAATGAAGACGACGGAGGAAAAAGAGACAATGCCAAATCTACACCAAACCAAAGCATTCTTATATCTGAGTATTTTACTCCTATGTAATCAGGGATAGAGAATTGAAGTGATGGAAGTTTGTTTGGCTTTTATTTTTCTACGGAATTGCAGGTGTTTTTTAGGCATATTTGTCATACAGCAGTGGCTGTTGTACCCCGAGTTAACACTATGACAATAATGGTATGTTCCCTCCTGAGTAATGAGACTACATATACTCCTTGCAATATTTAGGAAAATAATACATTCTGCTTCAGTCTCTGCAAAAAAAAGTTTGAATCTGCTAGCCCGAACTGTGTGGCATTATTCATGTTATTTTAGTCTTAGTATATGGACTAATATTAACTGGGGGCGGTCGGGTAGCCTAGTGGTTACAGCGTTCGTTTGTCACGCCGGAGACCCGGGTTCGATTCCCGTCATGGGTACAATGTGTGCAGCCCATTTCAGGTGTCCCCCGCCGTGATAGTGCTGGAATATTGCTAAAAGGGGCATAAAACCATTCTCACTCACTAATATTAACTGATCTTAATAGACCTTAAGAAATTTTACTGGACAGGGTCTTCGGACTGTTCGATAAAGTCACAGACTGCTGTTTCATATCTGACGCCTATGTTATGATGGTAACTGGGCTAGCAATTTACACTGTTTACACTTAACGCCACTTGGGTCTCCAGAGTGAGTGAGTTAAAATTTAACGTCACATCGGCAGTATTTCAGCCATATAGTGACGAGGGGTCTCCTGAACTATATTCAATACATACACCCTGGCTAATACACTGAGGTTGCCTTGCGGCTGGTTGACTGAAACACAAACTGAAGTGCTGACAATACTGCAGACGAAGGGGACAGTTATTACCTCAAGGTCCAATTTGACCTAAAGGTCAAGGTCATGACCTGACATTACAAGGTCAATGTCAAATATGTCCTTACTTGGTTAGTTTGAAGTAAAGTAATTAAATGTTTGATGGAATAAGGGTTGTTATATCAATCAGGTCAAGGTCATATCAACCAACAGGTCAAGGTCATGACCTGACCTTACTCTGAATGTAATAGAATATTTTAGACTTAGATGTTTAAATGTATTCTAATGTACTGTATTGTGATGTAAGCTTACCAAGCTTGTATTTAACTACTCATATATATCATAGTATTACAGAGCGAGGGAGTACTGGATGATGTGTAGGGAGCAGATGTGGAGGGATCTATCACTGGATTGTCTGGTCCAGACTTGACTATTTACAGACCGCCGTCATATAGCTGGAATATTACTGAGTGCGGCGTTAAACAACAAACAAACTTGTTTTAATTATTCATACATTTTCGTATATATCAGCATAGGTTATCACTCACAAAGAAGAATTTAGACAGTGTGTCATTTTGACACACTGAAATGTTTCTGTTTTTGTGTCATATCTGTCATTCATTATTCAAAACACATTTTATAATACCTTCCAAGCTGAACTGATGATCTTTCTATTTTATATTGGTATTGTCTTCATAGAGGGTCCATTGATAGTCAATCCCGGAGGTGAAGTGTTATTCAAAAGCATTCAATCAAAGTTGTCTTTGACAAGAGCTGACATGATTGTGTAATTATTTCCCATTTCTCCTGAAGTTGTTCTGAGGATGTGATATTTGTCTTACTGCAGACCTTGGAGAACTTGTTTTAATCATGAACTTTGAAGTTTCACTTGGGCTAGGGTCATACAAAAAGACATAAAAGATGGTACTTGTTATTTCCTGGCCTGGCACTTGCATTAAAAGAATAAAACAAATACTGGTCGGCTCGGAGTCCGTATGCTGTATTGTCATCCAAGTAGGTGCTTCTACAGTCATCCTAGAAAGTCCTAAGGTTGTACAACAGTGCATCTAAGGTCGTACAAGATGCAGTCCATCTAAGGTCGTACAAGATGCAGTGCATATAAGGTCGTACAAGATGCAGTGCATCTGAGGTCGTACAAGATGCAGTGCATCTGAGGTCGTACAAGATGCAGTGCATCTGAGGTCGTACAAGATGCAGTCCATCTGAGGTCGTACAAGATGCAGTGCATCTGAGGTCGTACAAGATGCAGTGCATCTAAGGTCGTACAAGATGCAGTGCATCTGAGATCATCCTTGAAAGTGCTTTTACAGTCAACCCAGATGCAATGCTTCTATGGTCATCCTAGAAAGTGCTTCTAAGGTCATACTAGATGCAGTGCTTCTAAGGTCAACTGATGTGCAGTGCTTTAAAGGTTATCCCTGATGCAGTGCTTCTAAGATCATCCTAGACACAGGACTTCAAAGACATCATACACTAAGTGTTTCTAAAATATCTCCCATCCAGTGCTCTAAGAGACCCTTGCTCAACCAGTGCTCTTAGGCCAACCTACCAGTGTTTCTGAGACGCCCCTCAGTCGTTACTTCTAAGGTCTGCAGTAATAGTCGGACAGGTTCTGGTATAGTGAGAGAGAAAGTTGAGCTAGGCTATGGCTGCTTGTGCTCGGTGTTCGTGTTTCGTCTTCCATCATTGACTTATGTGATGTCCCGTGTGTTGAGACTGACTGCCCCCAACTGAGATCAAAGCATCCAAATCCTTCAAATATCAACATAACGAACATTTTGGAAGAGTTGAAGTCTATTTAGCTGACAATGTATTAAGCACAATAAGGATTGTTTCAGAGTACAAGTCTCAAGGGAATATGTTACCATGACATTGTAGGTATGTTAGGTCATGCTCACCTCAGAAATTCAATTTGAAATGTTGGACGTTGTCTGATCTTGGTTGTAGGTAGGTCAGTGTACATATCTGTGTTACCATGGTTACTTGTCAATATCATCAGTGCTATATCTTGTCATGTTGTTACCATGGATACGTCATGTTGTTTACTTCCAGCCATCATTATGTTTGATTACAATGTTGTCATGGTTACAGTACAATTTGAACAAGACTTACCGACCATCTGCCACTTCCATTCTTTAGAGCCTGATCATCCGCATTGATATTTATTGCTCTGTTAATTCAAGGAAATTGCTTAGCTTCCAGCAGTTTATATGATCATGAAAGAAGGTGTAGTTGTGTAGATTGAGGAATGTAAGTAATATAGGTTTAGTGTTTGGGGCGAAATTTTTGTTTGAGACGAAAAGTTTTCTCATTCAGTACTAATGTGAAGGGTGAAACTGTTTTTCTTTAATTACAAACAAAATAGTTTTCAGAACATCCTGCAAGTCTGTCTGTTTTTGTGCGTTAAACCTGAAGAAAAAGTGTTATTTTCCAGCATTTTGGGGAACAGATTTTGTTTTTTCAAAATTGTCCCAGCTACATCCTCAGAATATAAAATGGTCGGCTGCATATTGGTGTGCAAGTTTCTCCGAGTTGAGTATTTTAGCTGTTTTAGATCTGACCTGAGCTGCAGGAGCTCTGGTCATGGGGAGGAGCTCTTCGTGTTGCTGATGAGATTTTACAGAAACTTTTAATGGTATTTGTGTCTTGGGAAGCACATTGTATTATTCAGTTTTATTATTTCTTCGGTTGAGAAATGATGCCTCGTTAGGGTGAAAAGCGGAGTCAACCCACTGGTTTGTATTGTTTTGCTTGGATTAAGGATCCGCCGTCTTTAAAACTACAAATAACGAGGTATTGCCATCAGATATAAGGTTTATGATTCATGTAAGGTCCCAACGTAGACCGATATTTTTTTTATATTTTTTTCTATCACCTACTCATCCAAATCAAACTTCAAATCCAGTACAACCATTATATTTCTTAAAGGTTTCAACATGCCAACAAACGCTAATGGCATCTTCCAGCGGCAAGGGAGTTAACTTACTCTACAGGTGGAAACTGGACTTTTATAGTCCGTTAACTCCCTTGCCTCGGGAAGATGTGCTAATGGTTGATATTTTTTCTTCATGCACTTAGTTCAGATTATATATTCCAAGCGAAAACCATGTCAAATGTATGAAAATGAGTTTCCAAATATACTACTGAATATCTGATCATTCACACTGATCTATAGTGATACAGTAATTTTATACGATTTTAAATGAGAACTATTCATGTAAATTACACAAGGATGTTTTATTTACTTTTGTCAGTCGTGTAAATTCTATGGTAGACTTGAAATGGTTCTTTTCCAGTGTCAAAAGCAATGGGATGGAATTAAATAATGTGGTAAAATTTGATCTGATGAACAGCCTAACATCAAGTATTTCATGTCATGAGAGTCTGATGGATGGATAGCCACTGAACTGTGTTATTAGTTGAATAGTCAGTTTTGTAGTCGGCCGTGGATCACTTTATCATGAGGTGAAGAGTCACTCAAAATGTGAATTGGCAATCAATTTGTTATCAGATGAATATTCAGTTTTGTATTAAGGGATAACCTGTCTATTTGTCATTTATGAGTCAAGTGAATAGTTTGTTAATTATTAAATATCATGTAGGATCGGTAATTTGTCAATAGACTATACGTGAGGTACATAAAATGGTCAGTCAGTTATCAAGTGAGAGCCTCGCACCAAATGAAAGTTTTTTTAAATGCCTAGTCGATGATTATCAGATGACAATTAGTGAAGTATCAGATTCACTGTCTCTGTCATCACATGACTAGAATTGACTACTCTGCCACACTAAGTACTGTCCTGAATTGAATTCATTGGGTGGGAGGGAGTGGGTACACAATGAGATATGCAGAATTGCATCCCTGAGGCAGGACAGGATGCCAGGGTCACAGTTCATGTCCGCCCCAACATTAAGTGGCCATGTGGTGATGTATCTAAGTACTGTTCAAAGCAGCGTCACATATCTCTCACTGTAATTCATTAATTTGGGAGCAACCATTTAATATTCTTTGGATGAGGTCAGTGCTTCTCTGCAGGGTAAAGCATACAACACAGAAAAGTTTTCAAACCATCCAGCTTGTTCATTGAACAAACTTATCTTTTGTAAAACCTGAGGACAATTGATTTTTTTGGAGCAGATAATTATTTTTTCCAAACAATATCACTGCCACCCACCAAAATATAAAAAAATCAAATGGCCTATCATTTCAACACAGTGACAGTCTGGAGCATGACACATCAGTTTCCTTCAGACAAACATCAGACTTTTATGAAGAATAGTTTGTATCAATAGGCTGCATATTTGTTTGTTTATCAACCATTTCTGTATTTTCATGTCTACTTTCAAGGCTTGGCATTCCACCGTGTAGTGTTCTCACCTAATTACAGAGGGCTTTTATCAAGCTATTCATTTTAATCTTCTGCATTTCAAACCATCCATCGACTTGGGTTGTATTTGTACCATGAGGAATAACACTAGAAAAGTAGAATGTGGACAGCTTCCTGTTTTATCATCCAGAACATGTTCCACAGGAGATATAGCTTGGATGAGATCAATTGATATTATTATCCCAGGATATGTGCTGAAGGGATCGCATCACAATGCTATACAGACCATTGTGATGTCATCGGTTACCATGACGTCAGAATCAAATGACTAATAGCTGCCACTGAAGCATGTTAGCTGTACCTTTTACATACAGGAAACAGGTTGTTACTGTTAAAACAATGAAAAGTTTGAAGAAATTGTCTTTTGATATCAAATATATCAACAGTCGTCCATAAAAATTAAAGATTCCTTTTTCACTTTTATCAACCTAAGTTGATATGTTTGATATCAAAAGACATTAGGGTGAGATTCTGTATGCCTCCTATCCTCTGTATTTTGATTTTGAAAGTGTTCTTTTGATAAGGATATGTTTCGAAGATACACAGAACTTGATACACAATATGCAAAGTGTATATTGAAACAGAAGGACGTTTCTGATTATTCCTGTCAAAAGTTTTGAATGTTTACAATTCACTAACTAGAGACTTGTGGTAGTACTATTATCCCTGTGTCGATCCTGTTATTTTGAAACAGGCGTTGTGAGGGTTGTCATGGGAACCGATCCAGATCAGGTGATGGTGTGGAATGCAGGATTGTAGTTCTTGGCAGACAGGTAATGGCAGGGACACATCGTATATAGTAATTGGGCTATGTGTCCTAGGCTTCATCTTGTATCATCTCTGTAACGAATGTGAAATAAAGTCATGTTCAAATTTTATTCGAGTCCTACTTGTTTCCAAACCAGTGATGCTGCTTGCTCTGCAGGATTCTGTCCCCTTGGTAACTACATGATCGGAGGATACCCCATATAATCACCTGCTGTCGATCCGTAGCCTGGAGGATCCAATGATCGTGGGTGTAAGTACTTTGTATCACCTGTTGTTGATCCTTGGCTTTCAGATCTGTCGACTGGGTTGAAATACTCTATTTCGCCAGCTGTGGATCCATGGCCTGCAGGATCCGATGACTGGGATTAATTACTCGATTTCTCCTGATGTGGATCTATGGCCTGCAGGATCCGATGACTGGGATTAATTACTCGAGTTCTGATGTTTATCTATGGCCTGCAGGATCCGATGACTGGGATTAATTACTCGAGTTCTCCTGATGTTTATCTATGGCCTGCAGGATCCGATGACTGGGATTAATTACTCGAGTTCTCCTGATGTTTATCTATGGCCTGCAGGATACGATGACTGGGATTAATTACTCAATTTCTCCTTATGTGGATCTATGGCCTGCAGGATCCGATGACTGGGATAAATTACTCGATTTCTCCTGATGTGGATCTATGGCCTGCAGGATCCGATGACTGGGATTAATTACTCGATTTCTCCTGATGTGGATCTATGGCCTGCAGGATCCGATGACTGGGATTAATTACTCGATTTCTCCTGATGTGGATCCATGGCCTGTCAGTTCGTCTTGTCGACACTTATGAGCGCTTCAGTCATTTGATGACACTACCAACCACTACAAATAATTTACAGCAAACTCTACTGCCACAAAACACTCCCCCTTCAAGACAAGAAAGTTTTAACGCATTGTAAGAGGCGACTTAGGAGATCGGGTGGTCAGTCTCGCCGACTTGGTTGATGCATGTCATGTATCCCAAGTTAGTGGATCGGTGCCTCTTGATATCAATCACTAGACTCTGGTCCAGACTTGATTATTTACAGACCTCGTCTTATTGCTGTAATATTGCTGAGTGCGGTGTAAAAACAAACGAACGCCTTGTGAAAACTCAGGGCACCACAGTAATCACAAGGAAATCATTCATGAATATCTCTGTGTATTAATTAAAATGCTTAAAAAAAATAAAACGTAAACGATTATTTTATTAAAGTTGAGGTGAAGAGTCGGTACCAGTAACATGAGAAAAAACACTAGGTATTCCTAGTTCATCTGAACAGCCTGTACCCAGATTTCCTGCCTGTGGTCTCTAATGCCATGTTATCAATCTGTCTAGTATTAACCCACGGCTTCCAGGTATTATGCTCATGGTGGGTAGACGTTTCATATCCTTTCTCAATGACTTGTCCCCAGACCCGTGAACATCCGGGGTAGAATAGGTCTTCGGCAACCCATGTTTGCCGTAAAAGGCGACTATGCTTGTCGCAAGAGGCGACTAACGGGATCGGGTGGTCAGGCTCGCTGACTTGGTTGATGCACGTCATCGATCCCAATTGCGTGGATCGATGCTCATGATGTCAATCACTGGATTGTTTGGTCCAGACTCGATTATTTACAGACTGTGGTCGTATAGCTTGAATAGGTGTTAAACAAGTCCAAAGATTGCTGCTCATGATATAAATCACTGGATTGTCTGGTCCAGACTTGATTATTTACAGACCGACGTCATATAGCTGGAATATTGCTGAGTGCGGCGTTAAACAACAAACCCACCAACCAACCAACTCGTCCCCAGGTCTGACCTTGGTGTTACAGCTGATATATCCCAAATGAAACGCCAGACCATGCTATAACTGACATATTCACCAAACTAAAACACGAAACACCCGACCTTCGTGTTATAAAAGTTCCATCCAAAATGAAACGCCATTCATCCACCCAGCCCCACCCAGCCCGGGAGGAAGAAATCTTCAGATGTGAACTGACGGTCAATGATAGTCCCAGGGATAGGAAAATCCTTGTAGTACACCACCGTCCCCCCTGCCAGCCATGCACCCCACCAGCCGTACGTCCCGGTGGTGATGATGCTGTGATTACACATCGTTAACATCGAGAGATGGACTTCTTGAGAAGCACGTTCAGTGACTACGACGTCAGGGGATTGAAAGTTGGCCCTACACCATGGCGTATCATCGGATATGAAAATAAATTTAACCGAGCCGAACTTCCTTCTCATGTATTCCATGGCGTTCACAATGTACGACTTTGGTGCCTCCTTGAATCCAAGTTTAACCGCGCCTGGTATAAGCATGTCAGTCCGCCTGACGTGAACACACACAGTCAAGGGACTACTCGTACCATGTAAATACGTCCTGAATGTCCTCGCAGCCTCGTTGCGTATATGTTCCTTGAATACGAACTCTTTTCGTATCGTTGTTTCGAGGCCAGCGAAATATTTCCAGGATTGAACAAATCCATCTATTGTGATGTTCATTGTCGGTAGTGTCTCGAATTTCTTGTCATATGTGCACGGCGTGGGGTCTGACACAGGCCGGACACACTGCGCATGTTCCATGCGTGTCCGTCGTATGTTGAAATACTGGGCAAGAGGATGCGAATAACGTATGTACGCCTCCCGCTTATTTTTTGCTGCAATGCCCAGCAAGGATGCGTATGCAAACATCCAGTTTCCAAGGCGACCATGATGAGAGAGTGTGAGGAAGAGTTTCAAATGTTCGCTTTGCACATACGATCGTATCCGATTCGTGCAGGCTCTGTAATCTTTATCAAATGTATCCTTATAAACTGACACCAACGTTTCGATGCCAACAATGCACGTCAGAGTCGAAAAACACAGAAATGATATCAACAGTATTAACAGTAGTGATGACAGTCGTCGTTTTATCCTTCTGTTCATAGTGTGGCTGTCTCTCCTTCATTCTGCAAAGACCATGAAATAAAACAAACTGATTAGGAAGGAGCATAGTTCGGCCCAGAAAGTTAACTGTTATTTTGTTTGTTTGTTTCTTGTTTAACGCTACACTCAGCAATATTCCAGCTATGTGACGGCGGTCTGCAAATAATCGAGTCTGGACCAGACAATCCAGTGATTGACATCATGAGCATCGATTAGGACCGATGACATGCATCAACTAAGTCAGCGAGCCTGACCACCAGATCCCGTTAGTTGCCTTTTACGGCAAGCAAGGTTTGCTGAAGACCTATTCTACCCCGGATGTTCATGGGTATTAACTGTTGTTAAGTAAATTACTTGAACATAATACCCGCGGTGTTGAACAGGGATTGGTGTGCCTGTTGCTTTTGGGAAAGAAACGTTACTTAGATCAACAATGAACATCAGACGTAGATATTTACATCAGATCGCGATGAGTGCGAAAGGCACTCCATGTGGAAAATCAAACCCGAGCCTTCGGCATGACGAGCGAAAGGATTAACCACTAGGCTACCACATCGACCAGTTGTGTGAGTGATTATACTGGAAGTGACAGCAAGCTAGTTCCCTACAGACAGGACCGGTTGATTGGTTTGTGTCAAGTCAGCATTATTCCTGCTGTACAAATGACTGTGGCCTGTACATAAACGACGACCCGTGAAGATCCGGGGTAGAATAATCTTCAGCAACCCATGCTTGTCATACAAGGCGTGATGCTGTCAATCACTGGATTGTCTGGCCCAGGGTCGATTATTTACAGAGTTGGGTACAAAATGTCTGAAGGGAATTTGTTTTACCGCAGCCCTGGCAAAAACTATTTAGATACACGTATAAAACGATCCGATCATTCATGCACTGAAGTTGACAAACGCTTTATAGAAATTGGCACTAGTCCTGAAGTCCTTGCCAAACTGCCCAATAGTAAAGGTATCCTAAGGACTAGTAGAACTTAGCCATTTTTAAAGGTTTTGCTATATGTTATCATTATAAGGACTAGTGGACTAAACATGTTAGTTTCTACCGCTGGTCCGGGAATTTGTGTGGGTACCCGGGACCTTCTCAGGACCCACCCGACTCGAGTACCCGAGTTACCCGTCCCAGTCCTAATATTTATATATCTAAATGAACACTCGCAGTGACACCGTAAACATACACATTCTGATAATGTCAGCCCGTTGCATCTACACAGTCGTTTCGAACGACCTACATACAACTACAAACACAGCAAGCTAACACACCTACTGTAAACCTGTCCTGTTTTACACTGTGTGGTGCGAACAACACGCTGGGCGAGTTGCACTATTTATAGATTTCAGTCAACAGATTTACCAGTATGAATAATTCTATATATGTGCAGGGGGGTCATGGGAGTCATAAATGCCATACAGAGACACAGGGAGGAGGGAAATGACCCTATGACTAAGTGGTTTTACCTGGCACGAACACCCCGGGTATTGGAAAGGGGAACCAGATAAGGGAGATAATTCCATACTACCTACTAACACGCATACCACTAGAAATTACAGTTTGAGCTGGTACAGTTACCGTATTTGACGTAATAAGCGCCCACAGCGATATTTGCTGATATATTGGCTAGTGAACAATTCCAATTAGCACCCCTTCCGATTGATCAATGTACACAAGACGTATTTATTCGTGTATAATACGCACGCGTGTGTTATATATGCACCCTTAATTATGGGCAATTACATTCTGGAAAAATATATCTGTCGTATATAAACATTTCAGGCTGTCAGTATAAACCACAAAATTGACGATTTTTCCACCAAAATAATATTCTAATAAGAGCCCCCTATCTATATTTTGAGAGCGTCCTGGGCATGTGGGCATTTCAACCCGGGTCCTCGGCGTTACGAGCGGACAACTCGGCGGAATAGACAGACACTGGAGATCGATATGGTTTTGGTTTCATTTGGCTGTCCTAGACAATTGGTAATGCAAATGTTTTCATTAAGTACTTTCGCATGCGTGCCATTGACATGTTTCATCAGAAATGGCATTCAGATATTTATGAAAGTTCAAAATATTATACTTATCGCCAATTCAAGTCATTGCTTGAACCAGAATCTTATTTATCAAATTTACGGTACAAGAATTCTCGTAACACCCTTATTCGTTTTAGACTTGGCCTGAATGATCTAAAAATTAACACAGGGAGATTTTCATCTATTGAGAAATCGATACGATTATGCCCATTTTGTGACATTGTTGTCGAAGATGAATACTATTTCATGTTTATTTGCCCTATAAACGAAAATCTAAGAAACAAGTATTTACCGCAGTGGTCTCTATCTCATTTTAATGCTAAAAGATTGTCTTCATTACTGTCTTGCAAGGATCTTATAACACAACATCAACTGGCTTTGTACATACATAATGCTTTTTTGTTACGAAGTGAATTGTTACCTTGACTTTGTATTTTATAAAATATGTTATGTAACTCCGTTGTAAATGGGCCTGTGGCCTTTCATACAATAAAGAATTGAATTGAATTGAGTGTTTGAGTGAGTGAGTGAGTATGGTTTTACGCCGCTTTTAGCAATATTCCAGCAATATCACGGCGGGGGACACCAGAAATGGGCTTCACACATTGTCCCCATGTGGGGATTCCAACCCGGGTCTTCGGCGTGACGAGCGGACAACTCGGCGGAATAGACAGATACTGGAAATCGAGTGTTGGAGTGAGTGAATGAGTATGGTTTTACGCCGCTTTTAGCAATATTCCAGCAATATCACGGCGGGGGACACCACACTTTGTACCCACGTGGGGATTCCAAGCCGGGTGACGAGCGGATGGTTTAACCCCACCGCCCCGAATCACACCACAGCCATGGCAAAACGCTGAAAATCACGTTCTTGAAATAGACCGTCAGTTCCGCCAAAGATCGAGACGGTGTAGATGTCAGATATATAAGTTTATCATCATTTTACCTGTAAAAGTACCTTTTCAGGCTAATCACAGTGTCAGTTATGATAGGCTAGATTAGGTAGATTTGATAAGGTTATTTTGATATACGCTATTTTCATAGCCCTAAGAGACCCGTGAAGATCCGGGGTAGAATAGGTCTTCAGCAACCCATGCTTGCCGTAAAAGGCGACTATGCTTGTCGTAAAAGGCGACTAACGGGACCGGGTGGTCAGGCTCGCTGACTTGGTTGATGCATGTCATCGATCCAAATTGCGTGGATTGATGCTCATGATATCAATCACTGGATTGTCTGGTCCAGACTTGATTATTTACAGACGGCTGTCATATAGCTGGAATATTGCTGAGTGCGGTGTTAAACAATAAACCAACAACGTATCATAGCCCTATGATTCGTGTTAATTTTTCATGCGAAATGACCGATTAACTGAAGTAAAATGAAAGAATCGTGTGGTCCTTAACTTCTTTTGAGTAGTATATATTGAATAACTGAACAAATAAATAGAGCCAGACTGATCTAGAAGCAATGAAGGTTTTCAAACGTACCCACCGCACGAGGCTGCCCGTTCACATGCTCGGCCTTGCCGCGCACAGTCCACAGACAGTCACGTACGTGTTGTCGCCCAATGGTGCGTGCATGATGATGACGCCACCTACGTGCACACACTCAGTCGGTTGATATATTAGCGGGACACGTGACAGGAATATCTGGGATAGCGGGTAGGAGGGTCATAAACACTGAGCTGCAAAGCAAACTCAACATCTGTGACGTCAAACACCATATCACGGTAATGACCTTGCCCTTATGTTTTCAAAAGGGGTCAGTTCAAATATTCGATGTCGGACACGTTAACGCTAATATTTAAGAAACATTACCCCCCTGACTGAAAAAAATCTCTAAAATATTGATGTCCGTTTCAAGTCTGTCAGACTTGTTCATACCCCTCCCCACAAACTTATTAACATATTTATCCGACATTGAACTTCTGAACTGCTCCCTCATGCCCCACTTGTCTATACAGGCACGGAATAACCCGAACAGACCCGATTGTAGACGCACATATATCCCAGAAGAAAGGTTGTGTATAAGGTTGCTTGCCATCATATGGCCTACACCTGATATGGTCTACACCTCATGGCATACACCTCATATGGCCTACACCTTATATGGCCTACACCTCATATGGCCTACACCTCATAGGGATTACACCTCATATGGTCTACACCTCATATGGCCTACACCTCATATGGTCTACACCTCATATGCCCAAGACCTCATGGCCCACACCTCATATGTCCTACACCTCACTTGACCTACACCTTATATGGCCTACACCTCATATGGCCTACACCTCATAGGGATTACACCTCATATGGTCTACACCTCATATGGCCTACACCTCATATGGTCTACACCTCATATGCCCTAGACCTCATGGCCCACACCTCATATGTCCTACACCTCACTTGACCTACACCTCATATGGCCCACACCTCATATGGCCTACACCTCATATGGTCTACACCTCATATGGCCTAGACCACATATGGTCTACACCTCATATGGCCTACACCTCATATGGCCTACACCTCATATGGCCTACACCTCATATGGTCTACACCTTATATGGCCTAGACCACATATGGTCTACACCTCATATGGCCTACACCTCATATGGCCTACACCTCATATGGCCTACACCTCATATGGTCTACACCTCATATGCCCTAGACCTTATGGCCCACACCTCATATGTCCTACACCTCACTTGACCTACACCTCATATGGCCCACACCTCATATGGCCTACACCTCATATGGTCTACACCTCATATGGCCTAGACCACATATGGTCTACACCTCATATGGCCTACACCTCATATGGCCTACACCTCATATGGTCTACAACTCATATGGCCTACACCTCATATTGTCTACACCTCATATGGCCTACACCTCATATGGCCTACACCTCATATCGCCTACACCTTATATCGTCTACACCTCATATGGTCTACGCCTCATATGGTCTACACCTCATATGGCCTACACCTCATATGGTCTACACCTCATATGGCCTACACCTCATATCGTCTTCACCTCATATGGCTTACACCTCATATGGCCTACACCTCAAATGGCCTACACCTCATTAAACAAGAATAAGTTATAATGAAAACTTGGTTGTTTGGTTGGTTGATTGGCTTGTTGGTTGTTTTACGCCGCACTCAGCAATTTCCCAGATATATGACGGCGGTCTGTAAGTAATCGAGTCTGGACCAGACAATCCAGTGATTGACATCATGAGCATCGATTGGGATCGATGACATGCATCAACCAAGTCAGCGAGCCTGACCACCCGATCCCGTTAGTCGCCTTTTACGGCAAGCATAGGTTACTGAAGACCTATTCTACCCCGGATCTTCACGGGTCATGAAATTGGTAATTGGTTAACAAGTTTACTATTATCAGCTAGTTGAAAAAAAATCAATCAAAATTCAGTGATCACTGATAATAAAACCAGAACAAATATACAAGCTGATTACCTAAGCAATCAAACAAGAATAATTAAAACAGGGTAGCTCACAACGGACAAGATGCACAGACAGCCAATTACACCCCACGTTACCAGAAAACTGTAGGCCAATTTCACTTAGAAGCTGCTTGGGTAAAGTTTCTTAGTTGTATTCTATATGTAGATGTTATGGTTGTTGGATGCCTTGTTATTTATATATATATATATATATATATATATATATATATATATATATATATATAGAGAGAGAGAGAGAGAGAGAGAGAGAGAGAGAGAGAGAGAGAGAGAGAGAGAGAGAGAGAGAGAGGGGTCTATATGGGAAAACAATTTGTTTTTGTGTAACCACATAAGGAGTCCGCCAGCTCGGCTTGTGCCAGGTCGCCAGGTCCAGAAAGCTGGCACTTGTGACTGAATGATTTTGTTGGAGTTTTATTTTGTTTTTTAAATGTACATCCTTCCAAAGTACGAGAATCTGTACTTTACTTTCTTACTTACTTTACTTACTTTACTTACTTACCCCCTTTCTAAATGCCTTTGTGTATTCATAGCTTTCGGCCATGGGAGCCGGGCCACGTTACACTTGTCAGAGGGGTACACATAGTATGTGATCTAAACTACCGGTTGTCTGACTTTCATCTTTGTGGAATCCTATTTTTGCTGAGTGGGTTAGATCGCTGACTTTGTGTAGTGGCGATTATGTGCCTCATTCCGGCAGTCCGGGTTCGAATCCCGGATTGGACTCAACCCCAAAAGGTACGAGATTCTTTACTTTACTCAGAGTGAGTGAGTGAGTGAGTGAGTGAGTGAGTATGGTTTTACGCCGCTTTTACCAATATTCCAGCAATATCACGGCGGGGGACACCAGAATACTTTACTCAGAAAGTGTTATCCCAAATATAACATATAACATTTGTTACGTTTGACCACTTTCTAAATGGCATTGTGTATTCAATCGAGTAATTAAAACCGACAAGGTTTTTCCAAGGTTTTGCTGCTGTACGCTGCTAGACTGTACATACATGCAGATGTAATGGCTGTTGAATGCCTTGTTATTTATGTATAAATACTACTCAAAGTTTGCTAAGGATCAGCACTTTAAAAGCTAATACGTCAAGTTGTGTGTTAAATTGCCAAAGACAATAATGCGTGGAGACATGTTTCATGAACGAAGGTCCGTTGTCATGTGCCACGCAATGCTAACAAACGACATGTGACCAATAATCAATCAGATCACAGGCCAAAATGAGAGTAGTTTGCTACTAGTTTGTCAAAAAATCACGAAAACAAATTCATTTTCCTAAAGGACAACTCTCAGTAGCGCGTGTGTGATCCACGTGATGCGATCACAGCCTGGCACATTCGTCACCACTCGCCCCTTTCCGTAACCTGCAAGAAGACTCGTCCCCCTATCGATGAATGTTATGTGCGAAAATTCGACAAACCAATCAGAATGCGCGTTTGATTTCAAGTTCTTTGTCAAAGAATCCCTCAGAAATAATATTTGATTTTACATGTGTCTTGCATCTAAAAATATACCCAAGACACAGTTAAATGTGTTCAAACATACTGTATAAGTCACCATGTCCTGATCTGCTTTAAATTGTATCTAAAATATATATAATATATGGAGAAATATGTGTTAACCATTACACAACGAGTTGACAATTGTTTTAGGTATGCCCGTTTGCGCAAAGACGGAACCCGGTTGCAAAAATGGCCACGAGAGGGGCACGAGTCGCTGTTCGGCTTGTCCCGGAATAACACGAGTTGGTCACGAATGAGCCTGGCACCGTCGCCTCATGCTCCCAATACGTGTCTGGATGGTTGCCAAGGCAAGATTATTTCACTCATTTACTAAGAGCATTGCCGAGTTCCCGCAGAGTTGCCAGAACGACAGGGCGTCGCGAGAGGGTGGTCTGCAGCTCCTTCCACACGTGTTCGATAGGGTAGAGGTCTGGTGACCGAGCTGGCCACTCCGTGCGGCTACTGGTCTCCTGCTGTAAGTAGGCATCAACGACCCTGGCACGATGAAGTCGTGCGTTATCGTCCATGAGGATGAAGTTCGCTCCGATTGCACCAGCAGCCGGTCTCACGTACACATCCAGAATGTCATCCCTGAAGTGCACACCTGTCACCGTACCCCGCTGTAGAACATGGAGATCGGTTCTTCCAGCTCTACTGATCCCACCCAAAATGATGATTGAGCCCCTCCATAGCGGTCATGTTCGGCTAGACCGCCCCGTGGTCTAGTGGTAGAGCGTCCGCCTGGAGAGCGGAAGGTCCGGGGTTCGATCACCGACCACGTCATACCAAAATACGTTAAAAGATGGTACTTGTTGATACCCTGTCTGGCGCTCGGCATTAAGGGGCTAAAACAAGGACTGGTCAGCTCGGAGTCAGTATACTGTGTCTGAGTTGGGTATTCATGTTAAACTGCGGCATGGTATCTCAGTGAGCTAGCACTATAAATCGGCATCAGTCCGGACTAGTACAAGCCACACAAACACACACACGTACATGCAAGTCGCTATATAAGTGCAATAATCTTTGACGCGACGTTAAACCCCATTTCACCTCACCACCTCATGTTCGGCTACGTTGGAATCCTGAAATATTTCTCCTTGTCTACTCCACACTTGAGCACGACGATCTGTGAAGACTAAACTGTCGATTCATCAATGAAAGGTACTGGAGCCAAACCCCAGTGCGCATGCCTGTGATGCGAATGCATAATCTCCATAATCTGTGACCAGCCTCATGGAGACGATTATACAGGTCATTTCTGAGTGTGGTGGCAGTCACGAAGTGATGACGTCTTGCTGCAATCAAGAGAAACCTGTCTTCCCGCTGAATGATGGAATGCTGTCGACCACCTGCGTGTCACTGAGTAGATGATCCAAACGTCTGGTATAGATTCAATGCCCTGCTAATCACACTGTGGCTGACACCAAAGGCGTTTAGGGGGGCTCGGGTGGCCCAATCGTCTAAGGCGCCTCGATAGCTGTGCAGAGTTGCGTCCCTTGGGCACGCCAGAAACCTATGATTGTGGGTTGGAATCCTGGTTCGCCCCGATTATGTTTCTAGGTTTGTCAGCACCACACCCGTGCTCGTGGGTTTCACCGAAGTGGTAAACGTCTGAGACCT